GCTATTCGGGGGAGGCCGTTGCTAGTAGGTTGGAGGCCATCGCTATTCGGGGGAGGCCGTTGCTAGTAGGTTGGAGGCCATCGCTATTAGATTCTGTAGATCCGAATGGAATGAATTTGTCCACCGTCCCAATTCGTCCGTATCTCGTCGAGGAACCCCAAGCTTACACGAACGGAGCCCAATGGCATCTCCCAAAGCTCAGGACCGAAGGTCTGCTGCACCGGTTTGCCTCGTCGATTCTTTGTTGGAAAGGGTCGAAACGAGTCAGACATCTATCTATCTATCTACTATCTATCTATCTATACTGTACTGTACTTGGAAAATGCCACGTTGAGGCTCTCCAAATCATTCAAAAAGTATAGTATAGTCTAGTATATAAGTATCACAGGCAGTCTTCTTCCCATTACCTTGCTCGATGAGCTTCCCTGTGTTGAGACGTCAAGTGCACCGATCTCAAAGACACAAAGGATGTTCTGACATATGTGTTGTGTATACTCTTCTTTGCATGAGGATCTATTTAATCCCCGAGACGCACGAAGCACTCAAAGGCCTGTGTGGAGTTCCGCGCCACAAGAACCGTCAAATACTTGTCGTACGGCAGTGGCAGAGCATGTCACCTCTTGCCCATTGAGCCAAGGATATTTCGTTCAGTGCGAAAGCTCCAAAGATATGGCGCAAATGTTGGGGAATCATATGAATATGAACACTAAGACACAAAATGGCACAAACAAACAGAAGCAGCAGGCTAGCCCAGGCCTAGCATGGCTAGTTGCTTCACCTGCACAGTGATCTCACAGCCTAAGCCCCTCGCAAAAGCAGGCCCAAAGCCGCACCCCTGCGTTGTAGGGTCCTTCAATCAAAGTCTTCCCTTCTGGTTCCACTCAAATTGTCATTCCGTGGTCCTCAGCCAATTGAGCTATGGCTTCTGGTGGAAGTCCCAGCTTCGCACTCGCAGCTCCAGGATTGCAGTGCATCCCAGCTCTCAGATGGATCCCGGCCTTTTGGGTGCAGGTATGCAAATGAAAGGCAACCAATTCGCAGAAGCACTCAGTGTACAGTGTACTTTGCAGTGCTTGTTGAGATTACAAGTGACCTTGGCTGCATCTGCCATCACTTCTATGTGGCTGATCAAAGTGCCTAAGAGAAGTCAATTGAAACAAACAGGCGAAAGTGTCTGCAAAGACTATTCCCAGAGTCATAATATGAGATCCAAAAGAATTAAAAAAACTGTAAACATCAAACACTTCCTAAGGTCGTGCCTACGCCCCATGATCATACTGAGGCATGCACCATCGGTTTCCAAGATGTTGAAAGTGACAACAGGCCCCTGGACAAGTCTCCCATCATCAAGTCCACGGTCACGGCTGTACATGGCGATGACCTCAGAGACAAGTCAATATGAGTCAATATGACTTTCATCCTGAGGTCGTTTTGGGCTGAAAGGCCGCAGGCCTGCTCGCCGTTCGAGTGCTTGAGATCCAAAAGCAAGTGATGCAGCTCGCTGGCCAGAGAACTTGTGTGCTTCTCGATGGCCACCATACCACCCACCTTTTCCAGTGCAGTGAAGCCATGCTTCAAGGCAGCAATACCGAGGAAGGCCACAGTGCCATCCTGCTCTGTCCATCACAGGTCCGCACTGTGGCAAACGAGCAGCAAGCGTTACTAGCAAAGTGTAATCAGGCCCATGGCAGATTGTGCCAAATGATATTAGAGTGAATCTAGCATCCAAACTTCAAACCCCCCTCGTGCAATGCGCAATGCCCCACCTCAAATTTCTCTGCGATTCTCCCCTTGAACACTTTCACATCATCGCTGGCAGTACGCCCTGCTCCAGCAATGGAGACAGTCCCCCCTCCCCAGTAGTGCTTCTTCAGTTCTGAAGCTGTGGCTGAGCGAATTACCAGAGCCCCAACCCCAGTGGGGTATCCAAAGAGCTTGTAGAAAGAGAGCGTCACAAAATCTGGCTGAGCTTCAGTAAGATTCAGTGGATGACTCGCTGTAAATTTGGCTGCATCCATCAGGACGCGCCAGTTCTTCAGCCTGCCTTGTGGCAACATATGAGCGACGCTGTTTATTTGTTATGTGGGCCTTGCACATTTCAATTTGATGAGTGTATTATCGTTTTCCACGTTTTGAACCTTACTTAGGTTAAAGGTTGTTTTCACAGTGCAGCAGACTGTTTGGACATGGAAGCAGACGTGCGACGGTCAAAACTCCTTCTGTGTGGTAAGGTCATGGGTATCGCCTTCTATGGTGGCATCGCTACACACAGCCCCAGCATTGTTTTTGACTTGTCGCCGTTTGGTGGGGGCAGTAGTAGCAGTAGCAGTAGGAGTAGAAGTGGTAGCAGCAGGAGTGCTAGTAGTAGTAGTAGTAGTAGTAGTAGGAGTAGCAGTAGCAGTAGCAGTAGCAGGAGTAGTAGTAGTAGTAGTAGTAGTAGTAGTGGTAGTGGTAGTAGTAGTGGTAGTAGTGGTAGTGGTAGTAGTAGTGGTAGTAGTTGTTGTTGTTGTAGCAGTGGTGGTAGTGGTAGTGGTAGTAGTGGTAGTAGTAGTAGTAGTAGACCAGCCATGTCTTGAGCTTGTTTGGAAGATATGTTTCAGATACAAGTGGAGCACTGGTTTCGTAGCACAGGTTCGTCTACATTTACGTTATCGTTTGGTTATCGTTTAGGTTATCGTTTGACTACAGCTACATTTCGGACAAACCTGTCGCCAAAGTCCGAAGTCAAATACGGCTTTGGGAAAGGCTACACTAAGCAGAAACGAGGTTCCCTGATGGTCTTCTGGTTAAAAAGCTGTACTGCAGCTATGCAAACTACGCTTTCCTATAATAAAACATGATGCTATCAATATGTTATCGTTTTTTGATGAGTGTATTATCGCTTTCCAAGTAAAATGCAAATTCTGCAATGCCAATGTCGGGTCCTTTACTAAATACCTTTGCGTAAATAAATCAGGTTGCTCATATCAAGGGCCATCACTGCAATCGTTTGAATAGGGTGTCGTTTATGATACCCCAAGCGCCGTTATGGCTTTGGAGGTGTTTCCCATAATGTTGCATCTGCAAAACTGCCTTGTCGACTTGCAATCTTTTGACTCCATCTCAAAGGAAAGATCTGGCCAGCAAAGTTCTCTTCCGCTGGATATGCAAACCTAGCACAGCTGGCGACAGCTTGACCGGGCGGCGTATATGACATACTATGTAAATCATTGTAAATCGGTCCACTTGCTGACTGAAGCACGTGAATAACTTCACTGCAAGATACCAATGTTCCTGGCAAGGCCAAGCAGCAGTGAGAGAGGGCCATCATCTGTGTCAATTTCAGTGGCCAGCCTGGGAGTAGTAAGTAGTTTGTCGCTGTCCCTTCAACAGCCACAGGGATTGAATAAACAACACATGCAGGCAACATGATTACAGAATGATACCACAATCATCCACATCACAATCCACGCGAAAACAACAACTGCAACAATGCCGGACACACGCTTGCCCACCGTTGCCTGTTCCCTCCTTTTCCCATGCATGTTGGAACTTCATGGCGAGGAAAACAACACTGGCCTGTCAAGCCAATCGTCCACCTTCTCGGATTCCACGACAGATGCTTCAACCGAAGCATCTCTTGCAACGTCTCGGATTCCAAGAACAGAGTTGTGGTTCCTGGGTAGAGGCTGAAGCGGTCTGAGATGGAGATGTGGTTCAGCCATGTTGTACAAGTATCGTAAGAACACATCCATGTTCATCCCCATCTCCCACCAGGGCAATAGGATGCAATAGGGAATTCCATGTTCTCTGACGTCTTCGCTGTTCTTTGCACAAAAGATTGAGAAGTCGAACAAGTCGCCTCAACTCAAGAATTCATTACGATTGTATAACCGTCTTAAATCTATTGGCTCCCTACAATCTTCAGACGCATAAGATGCTAGCTTCGATTGTGGAACGCCAAGATTCTGTAGCAAGTATTTGTACTCCGAGCGATTTGCGGTCCAAGGGAACCTCTGATCCAAGGCTGGTGAACATTGATGAAAATTGTCCAGTTCGGTTTGATATTTCGGGAATTTCACCAGTGAAGAAATGGGACACCTTGAGACAGAATTGCTTGTCTCGAATTTGAGCATAGTTTACTGAGTTCTGCACATAGAAACTCTGTATCACTCTGTATACGTTCCAACCATTGCTCACCCAGGTGCAATTGCAGACTCAATAAATCTCACTGTGTAAACAACTGAGTTTAGACCAAGAATGCTTCCAAGGCACATATCAGCAATCAAATGCAACGAGTCTGTGCAAGATCTGGTGAAGACCTGGAGGCTGCGATGCATCGCATCCTCTGTCTCCAAAACTCCAAGTGTTGCCTCTTGTCCCACTGTTTGCATGTGCATAGCACCCCATCGTCAACTATGTTGTATGAATGCCATTCCTATTTCTTGCAACTGCTACACTTTCTTGTGCACAGGAAACCCCTTTACTGCCTATCATGTGCATGTAGTGAACAGATTTGGAGACTGTGTAGAGTGTCACTAGGTGCATGATGGTGCATGCCGCTCCTTGTATCTCGATCTTCTGTGCCGAGATGCTACTTCGTACTCGGGCTCTGAAGAAGTTTTCGGAACTCCCAAGAATTCGAGAACTGCCTCCCTGGCAGCTTCCACTGAATCAGAGCTGCGTTGTGCTGACGAGCCTTGACGATGCTTCGGTTATCAAGTTCCCCGACACAATGGAAAGAGACGCAAGAGTTTCATGCAGTTGTCCTGCGGTTAAACGTGTCTAGAACCACACTGACTTGCCGAGAGACTCAGAGAATGCGGGTTGCCATAGAGTTGTTCCTTTAGATCTTCGGCGTGCGCATCTATCTGCGTGTTGGTGTAGAGTCCCGCAGCAGCATAGTCCAGGTACACATCACCCTTTAGACGTTGGCCCAACTCTCCTCAAACGTCAAGTACATCGAGGTACATGTTCTGTATGAAAACATCCTTGTAGGTGTGCTTAGCAATCAGTACCGGTCTCAGACCCGGCTTGACAAGCTCGATTCTCGACTCTTGATTCTCCATCCTGGATCCTCGATTGCTATGATTACTACTACTACTACTACGACTACGACTACGACTACCACTACCACTACCACTACCACTACGACTACGACTACGACTACTACTACGACTACCACTACCACTACCACTACGACTACTACTACGACTACGACTACCACTACCACTTCCACTAGCACTAACTAGCACTAGCACTACGACTACGACTGCGACTACTACCTACCTACCTACCTATCTACCTACCTACCTACCTACTTATTTACTACTTACTACTTACTACTTACTACTTACTTCTTACTTCTTACTACTACTCGATCCTCGATTCTTCCATTCCGCACACTGTTGTGGGAACACCCTTGTCAAGCTAACCCGTCTGTACTTGGATCTGCTGGGCCAATAATGTGGCCTCCTCATGGCAAACAGTTGAGTACATAGGCACAAAGTGTTCTTGCAAACAAGATAAACAAACATGTAGCCAGGGATGTAAGGACAGTAATGTCCAAAACCTACTGCGAGAGCAGTGGTATGCGTTGTTGCTAGGAATTGTTATGAGTTGTGATGCCTTCCGTGGGAGCAAACCAACGTGGAGACACCATTCAAGCCTTTCGTTGACAAGCAACGATGTACAAAAGCTTCAAAGTTCTGCATACCATAGCCATAAGAGTCGCCATGTTGTGCTAGGAAGTCGCTTTTCTCGCCCACAACATCATTCAACTCGGCATGGTTGGCTTTCAGGCTTGTTGCCAAAGCAAGCTCAGGACTTCAGGCGTCAAGACAATTACGACAGCAAAGTCTTACAAGGTCAGTTGTCATCTTCTATCTCAGCTAAATTCCTCCCTCCTGGTCCACAGCTGCGCAAAACCCTAACATCCCTCAGGCCTCAGGATATATATATATATACTGTACATATGCTACATACTAACAAGACATCTCAAGACCGACCCAACACGTGGGCAAGGCCTGAGCAGCAAACGCAAATGCAACTGAGATACAAAGCTCAGCAGCCAAAGGTACATTGGAACCATGGCTACGACGACGAGTAGCGAAAAGGCTCCTAGTAGCGTTCTTGTTCCTAGTAGTATGGAAAGGAGCCCCTAGTAGCGTCCTTGCTCCTAGAAGCGAGGCCAGGAGCCCCTAGTAGCGAACATTGTTCCTAATAAATCAAAAGGAACAAAAGCTCGAAAGCATTGAAGGGCTCGGACCTGGGTTCAACAAAGAAGGGGAGAATTATAAACCAACCTTTCTCACGTGTTCTAGTTGTTCCTTTCAACGAACACTGACTTGAGTCCAAGTCCAAAAAGTGGAACAAACGTTGTCTTGCTGATTTGCTGATCAAATGCACAGGCTACAAAGCGGACATTATTGCCGATTAAATGTTCATCTCGTATATTTCAACCATCCTCATCCTCCGTGTCTTCCATGTTCCAGCTTTGATGTCATTTCCCAATCAGGCCAGCTTCACATCACCAGCAAAGTGACGGATGCCAAACTTGACTCCACCCGAGATTTTCGGAACAATGAGCCTGAGATTCAGGGTCTACGACCAGTCTACGAAGCACTAAAAAGGAGGAGTTGGTCTCTCCGAGGCTTGCCAAATCCTGCCATCTACAATCTGTATTGGTTTGCCGAAAGGTGAGCAAAGGTGGTGACCACACTGTGTGATCTACAGGTTCAAACTAACATGGTTTGTGTAACTCTGTTGCCAGGCCTTGCATGCTTCTCATGGGCTTTGAACACCTGCCCCGCACGTTGAGCCACATACTCTATCTTCCAAGATATACGTCAAGCGTGCAATACTCAGCCGTAATCACTTAGAGCGCTTGAATCATGGAATCATCAAGTCCTGGGGATTGTGAAGAATGTTCTATTTAAAAGAATAAAACTGCCCATAATCGTTCGTCAACGTGCGCCAATAAGACCCTGCTTTGTCCTTCACACACATCTCAGAATGAGAGAAACATGACATGGGACACACTTGTGACAATCAAATAAAACACAACCTATTTCGCAATTCTGGTGCCACAAGTCATGCATACCAGATGCTGGGAAAATCAGTTTGTGCCACACAAAAGCGGGGAGGGCACGCCAAAACAAATAAACCCCACAAATATCTGCAAAATACATCCTACCTTTGGCAGGGTATCTGCTTGGTCACTTTGATTGGGGAAATCATCGCATACTGCAATTACAGTTTCTATGTAGAGACACATATAATATACTATAACTATATCGCATACACCGTATACATCCATATACTATACATATGTACCTCGATATGTACCTCGTTGATGTGCGAAACACACAGTTGGAAGCATCAAATACCCTGAAAGAGCAAAAACGAGACGGATATGTCTATTGAGTTACAATGAATCCATACCGCTGCAAGTTGCCTTGTTCAAGAAGGTCTGGTCGCTTGCCTCACACAGCAGGTTGTCAAGGAGGTTTCTATTCAATTCAACAATACCTATCCATCCGGGTCATGCGGTTAAGGATTTTTTGTGAAGAACAATTCCAAAAATGCAAACAGCAGAGAGAATCTTCAACAGCTGCCAAGTCGGTGGAACCAAGAATATGGTGGAAGGAAACTTCAGCTTCATAGCATGTGGACAAAAGCAGTGACCAAGAATGCTCAAACACATGGAGGATCTAGTCTAGAACCGTTCCTCAGCTATGTGTGGGCTGTCTTTTTACAGAAAAAACAAATAGTTGTAGCAAAAATATATATATATATAATGTGTATATAATATATATATATATGTATATAATACATATATATAGTAATAACAAAGAATAGCCAGGCCCAGGCACCTTTTTGTCGTTCGCTCTGCAACCGGATTGTCAAGAAAAACAAATAGTAATAGTAGTAGTAGTAGTAGTTGTTGTTGTTTGCCACACTGCAGTAGTCGTTCGCGGACTTGCTGCAGCTCCTCGCGGCTAAGCCGGGGAAAGGTTGGATTCAGTTGGCCGGGTACCTCCTTCGGAGGATGGCCGCACGAACTGAGGCAAGTTCGTGTGCGAGGGTTTCGGTGCGTTCACCCCACGGCCATGCAAGCTTATCAAGAAAAACAAAAAAGAACTCGGGAAATCCCGGGAACAACACTCCAAAAATGCCGGGCTGATTGTCCCCCCCCCTTCCCGGTCCACTAGACATGGAAGGGGACGTTCCGGACAATCAAGTTCCCCCTTGACCAGGTGGACCCCCCAAACCCTGGCAAGGCCCCGAGGAACTTATGGAACGGTCCATTGAGGCATGGCCGCACAAGGTCGAAGGTCGTTACCAAGATCACCAGCAACTGAAACCGGGAGGTTGGGGATTGTCTGCGCGACCATCTTCAATCTGCCAAAAAAAAGAAACAATCTCTGTTCATGAGAAACGTCCTTTTTATCATGTGAATTGTCCCTTTTTTTCCTGTGTGAAAACAAGAGTTTGGGTATTACAGTGTGTTGTTGTCTGAGGATATCTTTCTTGATTCCCTA